AAAGGATCAAGAAAGTACTGTACTATGGCATCTGTTGGCCAAGAGAATGTTAGAGCAGGAAGGAATCTTACCACTCATTTAATCCACCCTTCTCATTTTGCTATTGAGAGAACAAAAGGCCCAGAGGTGAGCAGGCACTTGTCCAAGTATACAGAGTGACAGTCAGAACTGTACTTTGGATATACATTGTCTCAAAATCCTAGGACCACCCAGGGCAACTGAGGGAGTACCCAGGGACAGGAAAGCAAGTAGGAGGCTAAGAGCTCAGGAAAGAGGAGAGAGAGGTAGGAAAAGAGTTAGTTCTCAAATTTTTAGGAAAGGGATAGTAGAATCTGGGCTGAACTTGAAATCTGTCTTCAGAAACACAGGTCACTGTCATCAGCCAAGAGAAGCAACTAGCTCTGTTTAGCATCAAATATAAACATGCAGGAAAGACTAAATAATCCCAAAGATGACAACTAACTGAGCAACCCAGTAAGGCAGCTGGGAATAAAATGTACGCAGCCAAGGACCTGATTAATTAACGAGGCTGGGTCAAACTAGTTTAAGCAGGGAGGATTTGCCTTTTTACCTTTGGCATGGAACCTGAGATACTTTTAGAGAACAGAAAAATTGCTATTCTGTCTCTACCCAGCTGCCTAGGATGGCTGGGATTCAAATAAAGGAGAAGAACCAGGGAGAAGTAATAAGAGGAAACAGGGGTGAACCATGGGACTTCCCTTATAAGGGAACAGCCCCCCTACCCACTTCATTCCCTCAGGTAATAATGGATAAAAAGCCTGCCAACAGGAGACTTCAACAGGAGATGCAAGGAGGTGGCACAAAGTGTCCATTTGGTTATGTGCCTCATTAAATTCAATTTAACACAGATTTCTCTACTTGGCATCCAGGGCGTCCTCAGGGAGGCTGCGGCCAAAACTCTCACCCCACCTAAACTACCATTACTCCTCAAACTCTCACATATACATTTAGCATATGCTAATATCTGTGCCTTAGGTCCCACAATCCCCTCTGTCTAGCAGGTCCTACCCGCTTCCTCTATCCCAAATTCCACTCATCTATCAAGTCCCAACTCAAAAGAACCCCTTTCTGCCTTGGCACTGTCCTAGGATCTCCCAGTTGGAATTCATTCCTCCTCCCATACTGTGACTGAATATCAATGGCAGTGGGCCTTAATTCAGAGATGTCAAGAGACCAGTGGTGCAATGTTGGAACCCCTGTTGCCAGTGTCACACACAGGAAACAGGCAGTATGCGGATTGAAAGTATAAGCTTGCAAGAGGTGAGGCTCACCAGAGGTGCAGGAAAGCCC